ACAGGCAGCCGGGGAGGGGGGGCGGGGTCTCGCAGAGTTTGCGGGGAAGGGGCGCCAGGACTTCCCTCTCCGCGCCTGGGACGCCGCCCGCCCGACTGCGCCGTGGGATGTAGCGCCCGCCCGCCGCCTCCCGGAGACTTGTCGGACCCTCTGTCCCGCGGTAAGCCCGGCCTGCGCTCGCCACTGGCGCTGTCCGTCCGTCGGTTCGGCCGCGTGCGTGTCTGTGTGTCCCTGGGCCTGGCGACTCGGGCCCCACCCGCTCACCACCGTATCCGTGACCGGGGTTCCGGATGCTCAGCGCGCGCCCAGCGCGGTCAGGCGACTCCCCCCGGGGGCTGGTGAGCGGCGTGGTCTGGGCAGGTAGAGGTGAGTGGAAGGGGCCTTGACCTCCTGCCCCGGCCATGACCTTTCCCTGCCTCCACCCACCCCCAACTGTCACACCGGGTTGGAGGAGTTTCAATGAGGCAGGTGACTTGTGGCAAAGGTGGGGGGGTATCTCCTTTCCAAGTCCCCAACTGCAGCCTGTTTGCAAATGGCCCTGGCAGAACAAAACCCCACTTCCCATGTTTTGAGCACCTACTTTGGGTCCCAAGAACCTAGGGTGGGTGGACAGGGATCCAGTGAATGAGGCAGTTCATGTCTCACAGGGGTGAAGACTGGCTGTGGAGAGAGACAAGACTGCTTTTCCCTCCGCAAACGGAGAACCCTAAGGAAAGAGAGGTCTGAATGAATCCCAGAGTAAGGAAACTTCACTGCAGCCCTTCCGGTGCCCAGTGTCCCCCAGCCCAGGCTCCAGGACAGGGAGAGGATGCAGGGAGATGGCAGGCAGGAGGGTGGTGGAGGGACAGGTGGAGGGGGGCCTGGCTAAGTTAGCAGGTGAGGGCATCAAGAGCAGTAGGATCGAGAAGCAGGTTGAGGGAATGGGGAGCTGAAGGAGTAAGGCATGAGGGTCACGCGTGCAAGGTCCAGAGAGGAGCCAGATCCCTCTGTGTGTGTGTGTGTGTGTGTGTGTGTGTGTGTGAGAATGTGTAAAATGTGCATGCATGCATGCATGTAAAATGTCTATTCTGCTACTCCTCCACATCCAGTCTTGTGACCTCCAGGGCTTTGGGACTTTTGGGAGCTGTGGGCAGGACTTTAGGGGCCTAAGAGCCAAACTGTGGTCCTGACTTGACATGGGCTGAGGGGAATAAAAGGCAGAAGAGGGTGGTAGGATACAGGCTGAGGTGCAACATGGCCAGGGCAAAGGCTGTTGACCACTGAGCTGCACCATAGCCAAATCAGAATCTGGAGGGCTGAACCTAGAACATTCTACTCTGTTCTCCACTGGGAGGAGGGGCTCTTTCTGGGGTTTTCCACACTGGCCAGTGGGCCTTGTATATCCTCCATTCAGGATTCTAGAAATCAGCTCAGTTAACTGAAGAACCAGCACAGTGGGCAAGTCACTCTCTTCTCTCACCCTCAACATCCATATCTGTGGAATGAGGACACCACTCCCTGTCCCACTGACCTCCAAAGGGGGCCCTGGGCTCAAGTGAGCTGAGGGCTGTTCAAAGCTGGGGATAATACTGAGCAGATGGGAGTAAGGACTCATTTTACCTTTGGGAACATGAAAAGCTAACGGGGAGAGGGGAATATGGCCTGAATAGATGGCTGACCAAGAAGAAGAGTGTCCAGAATTGGAGCGGGGATCTGGGGCTTGGGGGCTATTCCTCAGGAACCTTTGGGTTACCCTTGAGAGGAAAGCTCCTCTCCCATAAAAAGCATAGGCGTGACCGGGAACAGACCAGTGCTGGCCTTGAATTTCTGCTGGGTGACCTTGGGCAATTGGCTTGACCTCTCTGAGCCTCAGTTTCTTCAACTGGAGAGTGGGTACTGGCTTCATTGGGTTGCCGAATGATTTACAGTCCATGCCAGGTCTCTGAAAGCAGCTCACACAAGCCTGGAGCATAGTAGGTTCTTAACAGACATTAGCGAACAGAGAATGAAATAGCTCTAGGAGATGCCGTGAAAAGATTTCTTAGCTTAGGATCTAAGAAGGAAGGGGAGGAGGAACAGTGTAGGCTTACAGGGCGGGCTGGTTCTTAATGTGGATCTGGGGGAGGCGGGGGCGTGTGCTGAGGGGGGTGTGAGGAGGAGGGGGCCCCTCTGCGGGGACCACTGAGTCACGAGGACATGTAAGCGACATGACAACCAGCAACATGGTAACCAGGAGACTAGCAGCGGTGGGAAATGGAGCCGGAGCGGTGTGTTGGGGGGGCAGGACTGGCAGCACCAGGCCTGGAGGGTCCGGAGAGCAGCAAGGCTCGTCTCTTGGAGTGAGAAGGGGAGGCCCCAAGGCCAGGTGGGCTAGGGAGGAGGTGGAGGCTGGAGTCACAGGAGGGAGGCATCTCGGGGTCTGCTGGGCAGGGGGCCTTCTCCCGCACCTCCCCAGGCTCCTCGCTCCTCTCCTCCACATCTCCACTTTTCATGCCTCTCCCCCTAGGATGCCAAATTTGGCTCACGCAATCTGTCGTCTCTCTTCTGAGATTGGCACCGGGACCAAAGCTGAGTGCATTACATCACCGCCGCTCCCCCTGCACGAGGAGAGAAGGGGAGGGAGGGCCAGGGGGCTGGGGGACAAGCGGCCAACCCTTAACTTTCTTTCCTGTCTTCCTGCTCACTCTTCCCCCTCAGTCCCAGGTGTTGGGGGCTTCCGGGAGCAGCCAAGCAGAGCCTAGAGGCAGAAGAAGGGCTCTAATCTTGGAGATCCCAGGGCAGAGCAGGAGGTCAGACCATGTTGCTGTCCCCCTGGCTAGGTGGGGCCTGGGAGGCAGGGAGTTTGGGTGCAGAACCTCAGTCTGTCATTGCTTTGCCGTGTGACCTTGGGCAGCACCCCTCCCACCCCGACCCGATGCAGAGTCTACATCTGTAGAGAACAGTTGGCCATTCAAGATCTTGGTGACTCTCCTGAAAAAAGATGCCCTTGAGTCCTTCTGCTCTCCTGGGCACAGAGGAGGAGTCCTGAATTTTGAATGGCTCTCTATGACCTTGAGCAAATGACTTTACCTCCTTATGCCTCCACCTCTTCACCTGTAAAATGGGAGTGATAGAATCCTCAAAAACACTAGATGTGAAAGAGGCACTAGACATGAAAGGGGGACAGGGGAAGAGACAGGGTCTCAGGCCTGAAACTGGACACTCAGGGACCCCATGGCTCTCAGCACTCTGGGCTGGAGGTAGGGGCAGGCCGATCTAGCCATTGGCAGGACAGTGTTTCAATTCAGACGGAAGGCTTGGCGCTTAAATCACTAGTTTGATGCCTTTATTTTACAAAAGTGGAAACCAAGGCCCAGAGAGGGAAGTGGACCCTCCCCAAGGTCACAGTGATGGTTTGAGGGTGGAGGAAGCAAAGCTGGGTCTGAACCCAGGGCTCCTGGCTCCCAGCCCTGCCTAGAAGTGGACAGAGAGACAGGCAGATACACATACCCGCTGCGGAAGCCTCTGGACAGCCCAGATGGGACCCAAGAGCTTCGAGGGCCCCGTTCTCATTTTGGCCCCCTCCCTTCTTTCTTCCTGCTCCCTGGCTGCTCCAGCCCCACCACCCCTGCCCATTAGTCCCATCCCTCATTTGGTCTACTTGAAGAACTCTCTTTCAGGCTCATTTTAAAGCCAGTTTCAGACAGTCCCAGTCAGGGATCAGCTGGATTTGGGGTTAAGATGGAAGATGACGGCCCTGTGTAGAAGATTCCTGGAGCTGGAGGTGGAGAAGGATGGGGAGCATCTGTGGATATTTTGTGAAATAGTGAGATCCTCATTCCCAGAGCTATTCAAGCAGAACCAGATGAGAGCCTACCAGGGATACTGACCCAATGACTCCTGCTTTATGGGTGAGGTTGAATGATAGCCCCACCTCCAAAATCTCAGTAGTCTTTGATAGCCCCCTGGAGGAGCTGGGAGCAGCACCCATCACTCACCCGCTTCCCAGCAAGGAAATGCATGTTGTTGTCAGGCCAGGCACTGGGCAAGGAGCTTTTGTAAACCTTTCTCATTTAATCTTCCCTGCCACCCCACAGTGTCAAATTAAGGTCCCTGTGTTACAGATGGGGGAGCCATGGCTCAGAGAGTCTCTGTGATTTTTCCAAGGTCACACAGCAGGAAGTGGAGGAGCCTGGATTTGAGTCCGGGCCAGTCTGATTCTCTGGGGCTGTCCCTGGGACTTCCTGGAGGAAAGAGTGGAAAACGTCCCTCCCCTGGACTGGGGCTTGGCAGGAGATGGTGTGTCGCCCCCACAGCATGACACCCCCTCAGAGATCCTCTGGGGGCTCCATTCTGAAGACGTAGAAATAGACAGGCACCCAAGAGGAAAACTCATTTTACAAGGGGGAAGACTGAGGCTCAGAGACAAAGAGTGGCTTGCCCAAAGGTGATCAGAGAATTAGATTTGGGCCAGGGCTCTGTTCCCTGCACCAGTGAGCAAGGAGGGGCCTTTAGGCTGATGGTAGAGTTTAGAGTCTGGGTTTGGGGTGCAGACTGCTGGGTGGTTTGGCAGACGGCAGAGTTTGGTTCTAGACTAGGGCTGTGGGTAGGAGAGTCAGCCTTGGGAGCTGGGAGAAGGGAGCAGGAAGAGAAACCAGCAGGGATAGCAGCTCCACCTCTGTCTTCCCTGGTGCTGTCCCAGGGCCACCCACAGATGTCAGTGTCATACAGCCTGTGAGGTCAAGAGAAACTGTAGGTGGGACCTGTCTGGCAAGAGACGGTCTTGGAGCCAGCAGCCTTAGGTATGGCTCCCTGTGTGACCTTAGGTCAGTTCCTCACCCTCTCTGAGGTTGGTACGCCCATACATGTGACCAAGAACCTGGACTCAACGATCTATTCCCACAAAGTAGCTGCCGCTCGGCTGTGATCTCAAAGTGCTCCTCCCATTCCCAGGAGGACCCTGGGCCCTGGGCGAGGGGCGGGCAGGAATCCTGGGGGCTGGCATAACCTTTAAGCCTCCTCAGCGACTCAGCCCTCCTTGGGGTGTGGGGGGATCTCCGGGCGCAGCCCTTCTTCTCCTTTTCATCTTTATTTTTCTCCTGCTCCCTCTTCTCCTCGCTACGTGGGCTGATCGCTGCTCAAACTTTTAATTCAGATGGTAATTGAAATAATAATATGGGCTGAGGCCCCTCTTCTTGTGAC